GCAGGGGGGGTGGCTTGAAGCAGGTGGGTGAGGAGGCAGGCGCGGGCCGGCAGTGCCAGTGGCCGCTGCTTGGCCTCCTGCGCAGGGCCCGCGGGGGTAAGCAGCTCCCCTCCCTTCGCTGCCGGCTGGGTTCTGCAGGCTAGCCCTGCCTGCCTCGCCATGGCGCTGCCGCCGCTCCGCACTGCCGCCACCCCGTGCTCCACGGCAGCGGCTCTGCGCTCTGTGCCACTGCTGCGGGCCAGATAAAATGGCTTGGCAGGCCGCATGGCAGCCTATGGTCTGTATCTTGGACAAGCCTGGTCTGAGGGCATAGGCAGGCAAGGTTCTTTGGGTAAATGTGATATCTTTTATTAGACCAACTGAGTAGTTGGAAAAGGCTACTCAGTTGGTGTAAAAAAAGGTATCACATCTACCCAAAGAACCTTCCCTGGCTGTTGTTAATTAGAACAGTTTGGGATATTTTTCATAGGAGCATATATGCCCAGTGACCTTTATTCTTCTCCTTCACTACTTTTCTGTTTTCACAGACTTAACTGTTCACAGAGTATGCAGTATTTCCTTTTATTTATTTTTGAATTGGTCACTTTTTTGTTTCATCAAATGTTTCCTTACTTCCCTATTATGAGTAGTTTGAGAGGAGAGGAAGAAAGAAAGAGAGCAGAAGCTCTAATCTACCCTCTGTCTTACCTTTTGTTTCTCCTTTCTACCTATTTATACTTTCACTACATCCTCACATACTTTGAACTTCTCTCATTTCTGTTTCCTGATCTCCAACTATTTCCTTTTTCACTGACACCCTCTTTTCTACCTTGTATTCTATCACTGTAATGTCCCCCTTTAGCCTTTTTCCCCCCTGCTCTCTTTCCCCTCCCCTCTCTCCTTTACCTCTCTGCTTTACCTTTTCTCTTTCTAATTTCTACCTATTTACAAACTCACTGACATCCTGCCACACTTAGTTTCTGTCATTTCTTGGAGTCACACAACAACAGACTCCCTATTCCTGAAGAGGGCTAACTGTGCCCAAAAGCTTGTTAAGAACTTTTTTCCAACAACTCAGTTGATCTAATAAAAGATACCACATCTACTCAAAGAAGCTTGCTTTTTTAAAAAAAAACAACAATGAAAGACATTTATATAACTTTGTCTCTACTACTTCACTTCTTTTTTATTGTAAACAATCCCGGTAGCTTTAATTTGTCTGCATATGAGAATTATCCATGTCCTCCCTCATTCATGTTGCCTTTTTCTGAATCTGCCCTAATTTGCACTGTTTTTTAAGACAGTGACCAGCGTTGCTTAGGGCATTTCACCGGAGTTGGCACCAGAGTATGAAAAGTCAATATACTTAGCATTTATTTCCATAAGGATTAGAAAAAAATCTGGTTTGTAAATAGAAAGTACTGCTTTTTTTTTCCATTGGAGGATTTTGTCAAAATAGGAAGAACAGTCTGGATACCAGAGTTGTAGGAAAGTAGGGCTGGAAGGGAAATCGTGAGCTCATCTAGTCTAACCCCCTACTTGGAGAGGATGATCCCCAACTACGACAATAACAGCCAAGCAACTGTCTAACCTGCTCTTCAAAATTGACATGGATGGAGATTCCACAGCTTCTCTAGGTAGTTTGTAACCACCCACATGGTCAGAAGTTCTTTCTAATCTCCAACCTAAATTTTCCCTGCTGCAGTTTGAGGTCATTGCTCCTAGTCCTGTCCCTTACAGCCACAGAAAGTCTATCTCTGTCTCTTATTATCACCCTTCAGATATTTATTAACCTATTGCACCCAGGGAAATCCTAGTGGAGTATGGTAGTACTTCACACTATAAAATCAATGCTTTTTTTTTAATATTAAAATTTTGATGTCATGGAACAAGTCATGGGTTACATTTAGATTTGATATGTAAAACTGTGTAATTTGCACCGCAATTCCAGAATTCTAGTTTTACCAGAGGATGCAAAACTGGTCTCCTGACCTACTGGGTATAACTCTTTTTGCTTCACCAGAAGCAGCAAGGCTACCACTGGAGGTCTATGTAGCCTAGCAGTGCATAGTCGCATTGCTGCCATATTTCATCTCAATGTTGAGTGAGTTTCATTAGACTGTGAAATGTTTTAAATGTCATCTGCCTACACTTTGCTTACTGATTTGTCCTTCCTGAAACTACTTTTGACAAAGTGTGTTTCCAAATATCTTCCATTTTAACCACTTTAAAAAAACAAACAAACCCTGCCAAATAACGTTTTTTTTTCTTGCGTTTCAGTTAATACTATTATAAGGGGCAGGATATAGAATAGTTAATCCTAGACTTGTTTCACATATTTTAAATATTTGCCAGGGTCAGAAGAGGAAGTGATACTATTAGAAAGTCAGGAATTCCTTTTCTCCAGTGAATTTGAGTCCCTGTGTCAAAAGATCATGAACATTTATAGTATATACAGAATAGGATAACTATATATGTTTCTAAAAACTTACTACCTATAATGTTGATTTTCCTGAGGCCTGCATGATTTGTCTTATGTTACCAAGGAACTGCTTGTAAAATCATAGAAAGATGTGAAGAAAAATTCATTCAAATATTGAAAACACTTCTGGGGAGTTTTTTGGTAAAATGTGTGACAGGCAAGTGTCTATTAATGTGTGTTACAGTGCAAATGTTTTATTCCCTTACATTTGGGATAATCAACATAATTTACCTGGTGACTTTTCTGTTCTTAAGTTATTCTGCTATTCAAAACTGTTCCTGTAAAACTTGCATACAATAGCATGTGTGTGCACTTGCTTAATTATAGAATATGAGTGTGGCCTAAATTTTCAGAAGGAAAATGGTTTAGGGTTCTTAATGTGGGATATTGCCTTAATTTTTCAGAGGATGGATATTCAACTTTCTGAAAACAAGCATCTCCTAAGATGGTGTCTCAAGTTTTTAGCATCTAAATCTCTAGCCATTTTTAAAAATGTGGGCTTCGCTTATCCACATGCATAGGTCATACAATATATAAATGAACATGTGGTCAAGTATTCATGTAAGGCAGTGTACTTGCAAGTACTTGCAAAGTACTTGTCTCTCTCATCCTAAATGATTTCTAATACAGAGGTAGTTATGAGTTGAGAGACTGTCCCTTTATAGAGGTGGGAGATTTAACTTCTGCATAGAACTAACTAAACTTTTTAGTAGTGTTTCAAAGGAGTTCGTGACCTGTATACATTTACCATGCATTTTTTTTTTAAATTAGCAGTTAACTCTTCCTGCCAGATAAACAGAGTCATCAGTCATCCAACTCTTCCTATTAGTATCACTGCCCATGAAGACCGGCACATCAAATTCTATGACAACAATACAGGTGTGTATCTTTCTCCAGCTGCTAGCTCTAGTGGTTACACAAACCTAAGATTAAACAAAAATTAATTCTAACTGGTGCCTTTCATCTTCTCTGGAGGAGGCATCAAGGACTTAATGACTTCTGTGACAGGACTGTCATCTCACTTTTGGAGCCCATAGTTAGGCTATCCACTTGGAACATTCAGAGGAAGTGTTAGAAAACTTAAACTGCTGTCTTGTACCTTTTTGGTTTTAAATGGCTCAGACAATAGTGATTCTTCTTCTCCCCTGCCCCCCCCGAAACTCCATATTTCATTTTTGGCACAGTTAGTCTGATGCTCCATTCTTGGGAAACATTACCTCATAGTTCTCTAAAATGTTCATTTGCTTGTTTTATCTACCTTCTAGTCACACGTCATTGAATCATTGTAGACAGTGACGGGCAGCCTGGGCACCTCTTTAGTACTGCTGGGCTGTTAGTGGAAGCGCAGCTCTCTTGTGAAGTACCATTAATATTGCTTCTGACTTGATGCATTTCTTCAGCAGTGTTTGTGACAAAGGGAAACTACTCATCTTTTTTTTCCAAGAGCAGCTGCACTGATTTTAACGTAACTGGGAACTATATAGAGATTTATTATAACATATATAGAGTGCTATATTTGTGGTGATGACTTAAAATAACCTAGAATTTTAAGGAGGTGCTGTCTAGTGGAATGGCAGTATTGCATGAGCCTGGCTGCCATTACACAACAATCCATGGCTGAAGAGCTGAGTTGCAAACTATTCAATATGCCCACTGCAGATTTTACAGTAAAATAACCATCACCTGTGCCCATGTAGGGGGAGAAAGAGGGATCTGAGGAGCAAAGCTGGCCAAAAAGAGGAAAACAAAACCTGTTTCGTAAAATATTTTTGGATATTAGAGTTAGTGTTTTACCCCCTACTCTTCCTGTTTTCTTTTATTACTTCTGTTAATTATTTTTCTAATAGAACATATTCTTTAGGAAGAAATATGATGTCGCTGCTGCAATAGCAATAAGCAGTAAAGGGCAATACAGTAGCAGAGCTGGCTAAGTTTTGGGGACACATGGATTGCCTGAAGCACACATCCTGTCATGACTTATTGTTGTGCAACTGTCCTCTGAATCTGTTAGAAAGTAGGAATGTATACATCCTATATGGCTACAGCATAAGCTCAGTGGAAACCTCTCTTACAGCAAGTAGTATTTTGCAACAGTGGGTTAACACAGTTCTTGACATCAGTATGGTTGACCTCCTAGGAAGGTCAGCAGTAGAAAATGACTTATTATATAAACAAATTCAGCCAGGCACAGACAGGATTTTATTTTAATAGTTTATGTGACAGGACTTAGAATAAGTAAGAGATCGTAATCAAAATGTTCTTTTTGTTTAGATTCAGTGGAGTCATACAAAATATTAAATTGCCAAGTTAAATTGAATTATGAAAAAGAATGATAGGAAAAATAACATGGACTTTTTTTTCATTCAAAGGAAAACTTATCCATTCTATGGTAGCCCACCTAGATGCAGTCACAAGTTTAGCTGTTGATCCAAATGGCTTGTATTTGATGTCTGGCAGTAAGTATCTCACGTGTCAATTTCTTCCTTTTATCATAATAGCTTTCATGTTCAGTTCCAATTACAAAAAAAAATTTCCCCCTCTCTGTAGGTCACGACTGTTCTATTCGCTTATGGAATCTCGAAAGCAAGACCTGCATTCAAGAATTTACTGCTCATCGTAAAAAATTTGATGAGTCCATTCATGATGTGGCATTCCACCCATCCAAATGTTATATTGCCAGTGCAGGAGCTGATGCCCTAGCTAAGGTCTTCGTATGACATAGTGCTTGCCCTCCAGCTCTAGCTTGTATATATCTAACCAGCTGCACAATAGAGAAGAAAGGGGGCAAAAATGCCCTACAATTCAGAGAATGTTTGTAATGGTCTAGTTTCTGCAGGGTGCTCTTTTTTTCTAAATTAAGGTATGTTCCAGTTTCTGTGAGCTCAGCTGGTGCTTTGAGCTTGGAAACTCTCTGTTTCAAATACTCCACAAAAGAACAGCTTTTATTTCTGAGGGTGTGAATATTTTCATCCAGGCAGGTCTTGGGTGAAACTCAGTCTATATATTCTCTGTTAATACTGTGTAGGTTACTGTGGAGGGATGGGCAAGTAAGTAGTAATAGTCCGATAGCCGCACAGAATAGAGGTGGGGTTGGGGGGGCAGAGGGAGGCAGGGGAGGATAGGGTGAGGGAGGAAGGAAATCCCAGTGTAGTTCTCATTGAGGTCTATACCACATAATGCATCTTGAAAAAATGACCTTTCAAGTTCCCTTTGAAGTACTACAGGAACTTCACTTGTTCATCCCTTCAGCATTAGAGACTAGGTAAAGTTTAGAGAGAATAGCAGATAATTAATCTCAGCCACTGGGCTGCTAGCATAAGGTAAATCTGGTTTAAAAGAAAATTACTAACTTTTAAAAATATTAATGCAGTAATGTTTTGTTAAATCTGTTGTTATACAGTGGATATTTAGTTTGCAGAACATTTATACAATTTATTTTTTTGAAAGAATGTGTTAGCAAGTGGCTAGAAGCTTAGTCCTTAGACTAGTCACATTTAACGAGACAGACTAAAACAGTCTGTATATACTGTAATAGTGAATTAACTTATTCAGATTTATAATACTATTTGTTGTTGGAGGTCAGGCACAAGAAATATTCTCATTTTGTTGGGGTTTTTTGCCCATGTTTCTAATCATTCTTGGTCCCTTTTTGTTCCCTGTCATGTGCAAGAAATAACAACCTCCCCAAGCAATCTCTAGTATAGTTTAATAAATAAATGTTTATCGTTTCCCTACCTGATAACTTGCCACTCTGGGCATTTAAGTATGACTGAAATTTGTTACTTCTTCTTAAGGATAAAGCATTATATGTAGTGTTCTGCCTGAGCCTCTCTCTTAGGTTAATGCAGTGGGGTGCCCTTACCAAGTACTGCCTTTTTGAAATATTCTACTATTTGTAGAAAATACTCCCTAACTTGGAAACCTGTGGAGCTTTTTTAACATGCCCACTGTACTGGGCATGTTGTGCCAGTGATCTTTAAAATATGATTATTGCATAAAAAAATAATTCCATATAAAGGAGCACCTTTTATACTCAACAGATTTTCTCCCTAGATGTATTCAGAGCTTCCTGTAGACTTGGGTGACAGAAGTAATTTTTTTAACCAGTTTTACCATTTATTCCTTCAAAGTCTCAGAGCTGAGAGAGCCAAGTGGGTTCTGTTCTACTGAGCATCATCAATGAGATTTCATGTTACTAGTCTATCAATTTTGTGAAGGCAGGCATAGCCCTCAAGTGGCACGGAAGGCAAAATGTGTCCTGTATATTCTGTATTGCTGGTGTTGATATGAGGAAAAAAAGAACCCTTAAACTGAAGGTTGACTTTGTAAGACTAGAAGTTAGTTAATAAATCTTTCATCTTTTAAACTGACACAATTAAAATAGGAATCATTGAAAGAGACAAAGAAACTATTCCATTTTTAGAGAGACTTTTCAACATGAAACCAGAGTCTGCTGAAGTCCCAGAATTTAGATTAACCTCATTGCTTTATGCAGGGTTGACTTAGGCTATTTGGGTTTGCAGGATATTATATTTTATTGCAAAAATACCTGGGGATACCTTTCACTTCTCAGAATATTCAGACATTTGTTTGTGACACTGTTGTACAATATTTCCATTAAATAAATTTAGAATGTTTAGCACTAAACAGATGACAATGACAATGGTAACTCAGATAATTTAGTTTTTATAATACGTTTTGATTATGGTGCAAAGGGGCAAAGCTGGCTGAAAACTGAGCATTCAATTTTGTGAAAAATCTTCTGTGTACTTGACTCTTGTTTTTTTCTGTGTCATTATTTTATTTCTTTTTGAAAAGAAAATTACAAAAATTTATTTGAAAAATTCTAAAAGTTATGTATATTATATATGTGTATATATATATTGTAAACATGTATTAAATGTGTCTAGTAAGAGAAGACTACTTTGGATGCATTTTAATGTTTTAGTATTAAGAGTTCTCTTGAGTTTGTGTATAAAAAGGATAATGGTATGACTACGAAATGAATGTTGTGCTGTTTGCTTACACAATATAATATGTAGTTAAAGTTGTTTAAAATGCTGTACATAATTAATCGGCCAGCATGCTTGTTTTTAAAGACTGTTGTTCTGATTACAATTTGAATGTAAGAAATGGCTGTTAAAATGTGAATTGAAAGATGTTCCATTCTCACTATTGAGCTGTTGCTCAAACTGAAATGAATCTTGAAAAGTTGGCAATAGCTAGAGGATGAGGTGCCTTTAAAAAAACAAAACAAAAAAACAAAAACAAATGTAGCCTTACAAAGCGGTTGTGAAGTATATATTTTTGTGCTGGTCTAACTGATGTCAGTGTCTTTTTGCTGTACTTGCTCAAGTACTTGTAGAATTGCAGGGTACTGTGCATGAGCATGTCAGCTCTTCTGAACACCATCATAGAAGTTAAGGATGGAAAAGACTTCTTGGGTTTAGTCATCTGCTTACCAAAGTGGGGTTATAACCGTGTGTGTTTTAGTAATGTTTTGACCAGTGAGGTTTTACATATGTCCTGCATTATTGGCTTTTGTGAATTCCCTTGGAAGGTTCCCAGTGCTCAAAACAGCAGATACCCATAGACTCTTAAGATATTGCTTCCTTAGTTGTCTTTTAGCCAAGCTACGCTAGCTTTTTCCTTCTTCTGTCACATGCAAAATCTCTCCAGCCTTTGATCATTTTTATAACTCTTTGTGCTGTTTGGGGTGGGAGGGGGGAAGGAAGGGATGTTGCGTAACTTTATGTCCAGCCCTGATCATAACATTCCAGGTGTGAGAGCTAAAGCCAGTACCGGAAGAGGATCTGTTAACTTTCCTTTTTACTTTGATGTGGTTCTTTTGCTTAGGCAGATTAAAACAGTTGGCCTTCTTGCCAATGTAGCCAGTCTAATTTACCATCTGCTGTCTATGTTCAGCGTTGCTGCCTCCTAGGTTTCTTTTTCTTTGGCCATGTGTTTCACAATTCCCCCTTCCTCCTCCTCCCCCCCCCACCCCTCCCCCAATGGATCCACCTTCAGAGTTTTGATATTAATTTAATTTTGTTGTTTTTATTTTGATCCATGTTTATAGTCCTTCTGGGCCACTTAATATTTGTCTCTGTACCCTAATATGTGTAGCTTTTTTCAATTAAATACAGTTGATAAAATTAATGTTCTAGAATATCTAATGCGAATGTTGGACCCAAAACTTACCCTTGTGCTCAAAATGTGCATACAGTTTGTTATATTACTTTTTACCATTACTTTGTTTGATTCACATGGCACATTTTTTTTAAGGTTAATTCTTAGAAATTCGGTGGATAATAATGTGTGCTACTGATTTTAGTAAAGTCAATTGAAAAGAAAAAAATGTAGTTCCTTTTACCAAGTGTAAATGATCCATTAGGTTTAAACATTGTCCTACTTCACTTCCAGTTTGCAAGGGTAACTTGTGTGCTTTTCTGTGTGTTTGATATGCCTAAAAATCTTTTCTTTCACAAAATGGTTGGACTCATTTGACATACACCCTGGATTAAATATTGTGGAAAATCTTCCATTCACTTCTGAAGTACCAGAATCCATTTTATGTTTTGTGCCAGAGACAAACCTCTGTGACATACCAAGTAAAATCCTAAATAGTATTAAAAATATCTCTAGTCTTTTTATGGTAAAAAGTTGCCTTTGATTTTATTTTTAGATAGAAGTGGGGAGTTTAATAAGAATACATATTAGAAAGAGCTCTTCTAAATTTTAATTCCTCTTACTGTAGCTGTCCTTAGGGTACAGTGTGTGACTAAAATAATGTCACAAGAAAAGTATTCCCTAGCATAATATATTTGACTCTAAGCGTGTAATGTTCAGTATTGAGCTGTGCAGTCAAACCATAAGCCTGATTTTTTTTTTAGGGCTGTAAATTCCAAATAAATAGAAAACTTGTGATTTTCAATTTAAAAAAAAATAGAAAGTAATTCCACACTACCTCTACTACTACCAGCGTATGGTCATCATACGTTTTTTCACACTTTTCCACAATTCTCAGGAGTTTTTGTCACTGGAGAAAAAGCAGGAATTTAGTAGAAATCAGGAATTTGCATAAATTGTGTGTTTATTATACAGTAATTATGTCATTTTTTGATAGGGATGCTGGATCACAGGTGAGTTTTAGCTCATCCCAAAGGAAAACAAAAATTCACTAATTGGCATAGACATCACTTTGCACACTTTTTTTCATGCACTTTCAAAAAAATGTGTATTTGGAAATAATGCCAGTCACTGCTTGGTGATGTGTTTTGGACATCAGTTTGAAGGGTTTGCTGATACATTTTGTTTTGCAGCAACAAGTAAATCCCAGGAGATCAAATTTTCAAACTTCTTGTGGCCAGTGTTAGACTAGAAGATGGGGCATTGCTTAGGTGCCTAAATACAAATTTTTAGAGAGATATTTGAAAATGGTCCCAGAATAGTGTGTGAATATTGACCCTAAATGAACATGGCAATGCCCTTCTTGGACTCTCTGATGTCCTTCTTGTCTCTCTGATGTCCAAGGGTCAAGATTTGAACTGGATGCTAGTAAGCAATGTGGTATTATTGGAGAAGATGCTTTCTAAATGCACCTTTTGTTTCAAGGCATATTGCTGATGGTCATTTGGCTTGACTGGACATAATTGACCAGATTATTCATTGGACTATGATGACAGAGAAGATTAGATCAAGAGGTGAAATTTAGCTTTGACTTACATGTGTGTCACTTACTTGGGTAAGGTGGAATTATGAAGGCTTGAAGCCAATTCTAAGTTTGACCTGAAGACACTGGAAACAATAGCTAGAAAGAACTCGTTAATGTTAGAACTTTGAGATTCTCTGTAATTTAATTACCCATATTTTATGATGCTCCCTGCTTCAGAATGATCAAATTAAAAGTATATTTGTTCAGATTTGAAACTATACCATTAAACAGAGGTAACAAGAAATCTATGTATGTTTGTAATTTAAATTTTAAAAATAAAACTTGACATTGTTCTTTTTTTCATGTTGGAAAGCCCAGTGCTGCTGTGGCTGACACACCTCAGACACTTCAGCAGGACCGCTCATGCTTTCAGTCTAACACACAGAAAACTTTTCAGGATCAAGTCAGGCCTTAATCTTTTGTTTTGTTAGAATTGGATCTTAATCTGAAGGAGGGCAGTGCAAGGTAGGCTTTAAACCATCATTCTGAATTTCCATTGTTTTCTGGATTTTTATCATAATCTGTGTTACATGAAGGATTATGGTATTTTTCATTTATTTCCCATTCCATAAAAATATATGCAGAATCAAACACGTAAGGCTAGCTTTAAAATATAGCTGGCCTTTTTCCTAGTGCAGCTCGTGTAATAATAAAATGAGTAAAATATTTGTATATGTTTCTATTTCATGAGATGTGAATGAGAATTCCAAGTAATTTTATTAATCAATTACAGACATATATATTCGAGTTTTTTGATATGCGATATGGAATTGTTCATTAAAATTATGAAAATAAGGGATTTATGGAAATAACTGTAAAAGCACTCACCTGTCTATAATGCAGCATTTAAAAAATACATTCTAAAACTTGGGGATGCTAATTAGAAAATAAATTAGACCACAACTACCAAAAATGGAGAAATTGAATGATGAAATGAAAACACCCACATGCACATACACTGTACCGACTATGGAAAGGTATAATATGTGACATGGCTAGGTCACTTTCTCTCTCAAACCTGTAGACATGGTAAACTTGAAAGTTTATAGCTCCCCGTGTTGATTGTCAGGGAATAGCTTTGTAATGAGACTTTTTTCTGAAAACCTGTTAATCGGTTTAGTCTTGCAGAGGAGCACTATTAGCGATTAAAAAATCACCTGCAATCTCCTAGTCTAAACCCTTAACTAGTAAGCTACTATTCAGTGGGTGTGTCTACACATGTAATTAATTTGAAGCAATACACTCCAGAGCAGTTTGAGCTGGAGTAAATTACTCCTGGGCACAGCATCTACACGTGCACCCAGGACAGGTGCAATTTGAGCCAGGGCAGAGCAGGTTATGCCATGGTCCCTGCTCTGCCCTGGGCTCTGAGTGGTGGCACTGGGGGTGAAGGGGCTGGTTGGGGCATGAGGGTTCTGAAAGTGTGGAGTCGTGTGGCTTGGTGGCAGGGAGGAGTCTGCTGGCTGGTCTAACCAAGCACAATTTACACCCGTGGCCAGCATCTACATATGCATTTAATTGCAATTAATTACTCTGCCATAAGATAGTACTGTCCCCAACCATCCCTGACAGTACTATCTTATGGCAGTGTTAATTACTTTACTGCAGCCTAATACTGTGACATATGTAGACAGTGACATTTTACTCGGCTACTAATTAGCCTACTCTACAGAAAAGTGCTTGTGTAGATGCAGCCAGTGAGATTGACTGATTGTGGAAAGGGAGCAAACAACATTTTACCATCAGGCTACATGTGGGAACTAGAAAAATAGTTGCTAGAGTAAAACAAAATTTTGAAGGGTGATCTTATGTGAAATAGAACAAAAAAGTGAAATTTAGGATGGTACGAGGGAAAAAACAGGACATGAGTCAGCTCTCTAGTCCTTGTGTAATAGTCCGTACTCAGACAGCTACTCCTATTTCACCAGTGGGACTGTTCCTGTGAAATCAATCCCTCTGTTTGTCTATGATGACTTTCCCCTGTTAACTAATATATCTATTGTCCTGAGTATTCACCTTTCTGTATTCTTGGGTTAGCCTCCCCTCCTCTTTATAAAATACATGTTCATGAACTGATAACATCTCTTCAGTGTCAGATGTCCTGCTTTGAAGGTTGAATTGCATTGGATAATAATGGCAGCCTGATTTTGTTTTGTCTGTCTGTCTGAAACTTATGAAATAACTATACCATGTAAGACCTCACTTTGAACATCTTATTTCAGTTGCAGTGGTGCAAATGGTGTAAATTGGGTTTATGTAGCTCATGATTAATGTAGCTATTTGGTAGAAGAGATGTAGGTCTCTAATTGAGCTAGTGTGTGTTTTTTTGGTTTTTAAACTAGTTTGCCTTTGTCTCCACTGCCAAGCCATGTATTGGCCCAGTAAGAACAGGGTAATGTGTTTTTTTTAATATGTTCAATGCCCTATGTTGACAAGGCCTAAAAGTCCTGTTTGCTTTCATTCAGTTTGAATCTCAAGCTCCCAAAATTACTTGCACTCTGTTTTGAAAAGGCTGTGGTCCTAGCACCAAAGTATTAAGCTGGAAAGCTAAGAGGTACACAGCTGGATTTATACTTTTCTAGAAGGCACAGGAGAATTTCTTGCCAAACCAAATACCTTCATTACTTTCATGGATTACTTATGAAAAGCAGCCAAAAATATTGTATAAGTGATAACTGATGGACTTTTGGCTATCTTATCATTATTTTTTTTCTTTATTGTAACTATGATTTAAATTATGGCAATTGAATGTAACTTGTTTTCAGATTGACTCCCAAAATTGTTGTTTTGGGCACTTACAAGAAAAGCAAGCACATTTCAGAGGCCATCACATCTGCGCTAATAGTCTGAGGCAACTTTCATTTTAAAATACAAAATGAGCATGTTGGCAAACAATACCTTGTAGCTTTGGAGCCCAAGTGAACTGAAAAGGAATCCTATATTATATTCAATGGCTTCCTTAAAACTAGCATCTAAGCAAATTGTAGGAGATGGACAGCATAATATAGCCGTTGTTCATGTGGTGAAATCCAGACTGTTGTCAGCATATACAGCACCCACAATGCATTTTATGTAAGTACATTCACTTGACTACTTTGAGAGAGATTCAGATTAAAAAAACTTTCAGACGTATTTCTTTGCCTAGGGAACTAATGATTCTCATAATTTAAAAACAAGCAATTTTAAGAAGGTGATTTGCTTGTAAACATTAATGTAGTAGCCTCTTATTTTGATTCCTTTACTTTTTTCCTAAAATAAAGTTAAGTTCAAGACCAACACTTCCTCACAGTGCCCTTTTAGGTTATTGTTGGTAAACATAATATACAGGCCACCAAAGCCACACTTTTAATGATGAAACTTTGGGTCGCTTCTCCCAACAGATATATTAGAAATAAATGGGTACCTATCATCAAGAGTGACATGCTAACTCATCCCTGAAAACGAAGGGAATTTAGGTTGAGCTCACATGAATTTGTGTATTTTATGTTGCAACCGGTTTTGAATGACTACTTTTGAAACAGTGTCAGACTTCAAGTGATTTGCAAAGTAATGGCTCAGGTGGAAAATACCTACTTACTGAGTAATATTGCCTGCTTGCCAGTTTGTGTCTGTGGTTCAGTATGAGATTGTTGTAAAAATTTTCTAAACATAGTAATTTGATTGTGTTACATGCTACTGTTTCACAAAAGTTAATGTTATTTTAAGTCGCACATTCCTTTCTTTTCTTTTCTGTTTAAATAAATGCAAAGGAATTATTTCTCCCAGGAACCAAGACTCTGATGCAGATGTTTTAATTTCAGGAAGGTTCATTTGCATTCATAAAGTTGGGTTGGGAAAGCTAATGACTCGTTTTAATCTTTAAACTGTTGAGAAGTTTTTATCATGTAGTAAATTCAAAATCGTTGTTCGAATGAAAGTATTCTATTATCAGAGTAAAAATGTAATATTTGTTTAGTAATTCAGTATTTATGAATATTAGATTTAGATGTATAAAACTGCAAAGTTAGAAAATTAGGGTAATGGTCATTTAAAGAAACGTTGGTATTCTTTTGGGGCTCTTTTGAATTTTTCCCTTTTATGAATTGCAGTGAAACTGCTGTTTGTGGAACTTCTTGGGTAGATTGTATTTAAAGTCACATTCACTTGCCTGATAAGCCAAATAAATATTTTGTCATTAAAATTTATATAAAACTGCGTATATTAGTGTGTAATTTAAAATGAGACAACACTGAGGTAACCGTGCAGGTACTTATATTGATCTGGCAGTAGTGAAGTGGAATCTCTGTATACTGTACCCACATTCTATGCTGAGCAAAATCACTTGGACTTCCAAAATTAAACAATGGTTTTTAAGAGCAGCTTTATTTAATGTTACAGCAGCAAGTAAATTTCATTTGTATCATATAATTATGTAAATTGGGTGCTAATAAATACTATTTTTCAACATTTGGTACTGTGTCCATAATTCTGCTTTATTACTTTAAGAAACATGCAGGTATGTTGTTGTCAATGAGCAAGACTGGAGGGCCACGCTGGAAGAGCAAGTACATGCATAGGTTTAGTCTACAATGGCATCTGCTGCTTTAAAGGAAAATATGGATTACGTTTTCCTTTCCTGGCTAGCATATAATCAACCTTAATATTCATTCTTAATACTTTGTGTACATTCTCCCCTTGCTATATGCTTTCTTGCATATATTCCATCTTGATACCTGTGGCATCTTGCATTATACTGTGCAGTTTTTTTTTCACACTTCTCCCACTGTATTCAATGGGAATTACGCAAATATGCATTCAAACACAGTAACTTGCCTTTGTGGGACACACGCCATGGATGGTGGGCACGTCTAAATGAGCATTAATGTGGCTTTTCTAATGCACATTAAATTTAGTACCTCAAATGTGAGATACTAAATTAAGGCACATTAGGTTGCACATTAGCATAATTGTTTTTTTAGGTGATACTTTAATGCGCATTAGAATAGGTGACTGCGCATTAAAGCGCATGTGTAGGTGTGCCCAGTAATTACAAGAAATAATGCATTTGATCTTGTCATCTCTAACAAACATAGCAGTTTCTCTGAGGCTGGAAAAGATGATAGAGAATGCCAGACAGTAGTCATAGGGCATGTCTACATGTCACCCTATGTCGCTGTAGCAACATACTACAGAGATGTACAACATGCTACAGCAGTGTAGCTATCATGTGACCGGCAGCTACTTCGCTGTAGCAGTGTGCTCCCCCATTTTAGCACATGCTTCAATGAAGTAGCAGATAAAACTAACCATGCACCATGCCAAAACCCTAAAACTAACAGTTCCAAAAGCAAATACTAGAGCACAGTACAGTAACAATGTTGCCATAGGGTGGTGTGTAGACACACCCATGCTGCTGCTGTAACCATGGACCTCTAGAAAGAGAAGTGGACAGTTCTCTGTTAGCTGTTGTTCACAACTCTGTGAAGTCTATAATTTTTATGTTTAGTAAAGTTTATCTTCTGAAGGTACTGTGTAGGTTTCCTTTGAGGGTAAGGATTGGGTGGTCAGAGATGAAATGGTGATATAGAAAAATTGTTCTGTGTGGTGACAAGGTGTTTCTGTTAATCTTTTGTTAGGTGCAGTATTCTGTTAGACTCATTCTGTAGCATAATTGGCGCATCTACACATACACTTGACTGTGGAGTAGGCTAAATAGCTCTGCAGTAAAGCGTCGCTGTCTACACGTGCACTGGTGTTAGGGTGCAGTAAATTAACTCAGCTGTAAGATAGTACTGTTAGGGACCGTATTATCTTATGGTGGAGCAAGTAACTGCACTGAAATGCACATTTAGACAGTGATGGGCTGGCTGGGGCATGTGGGTGCTAAACTGCAGGGGCTGCCTGTTGCCTAGTCCACACTAGCACCCTTGTGCCCCAACCAATTCCTCTGACACCTGATGCCACCGTCCAGAGCCTGGGGCTGACTTCCCATGCCCCCTGCCAGCTTGAGGCTACTCTGCCCCAGCTCAGATTGCTGCTATCCCAGGCACATGTGCAGACATTACACCCGGGAGCAGTTTATTCTGACTCTTAAGTGCTCCAGAGTTTATTCCTTTGCACTAATTGCGCATGTAGATGCACCCAATACTACTTTGGTTTCACCTACGTTAGTTACTGTGAAGCTGTCTGGCAAGACCCATTCTGTATTGGGCTGGGCCTTAGTAGGATTCCTGGATTTTCATGGTTTTGTGGTGGAGGTGTTGCTCATGGTGGCAATAGAAGCATCAGCAGTTTTTGTATTTGGCGTTCTAGAAAGATCTGATTCTGTTTGGTGTGTGTTGGTTTGCAGGGAGGGTGTTTTTAAAGACCTTGGTGCAATCTGTTGGGGTGCAGATGTTTGAACACTGGGCGTGGGTACTGGGGAAAATGGCAGTCATCTCACTTAACATACGACTTCATGGAAGGTGCGTAAAGACAGAACAGGAACCTACATAAAACTGGAAGCATTAATTTGTTATTGAGTCCATCCAGCATTCCCTATGCTTAGAGCTGGTTGTCTCTGTTCTGTGGGTGAGAGAACAGGTCCTGTTACCAATCCCCACCCTCCTCATCCCTGGCCTTGCAGGAACACGGGAATTATCAGCTCAGAACAAAAGCAAGTCCTGTCCAGTATCCTTTTTCCAATGGTAACCTGCTACTGGACCCTTCAAAGGAAAGTGTAAAATATTTAGTAATAACTTGTCCACACAGGCAAGTTTCTCCTAAATGTTCTGAAGAGTTAGTTTATGAACTGACCTTGAAGTTTATACCGCTTATAAACTGCTGTTCTAGCTGCTAAAATGAAGATGGTCTTACTGGCAATAATGGCCAAACTTAATGGTGCAACGAAGGTTTTATTCTGTTCAAATATGATGAAAGGTATGGAAATGAACAAAAAATCCTCTTGAGACCTCTTGGATGATAAAAATTAACCCTGAGTTTAGTAGAACTCAGAAACATGAACATACATTCATACCTAGGTGACCTGTCAAAGAAAGCTAGTCCTCTACAGTCTGGGAGTTTTAAGAATGGAGATGAGACTAGTTGACTCACTCTGTTCAGAAATGACATAATGCTTATAGGTCTTTTAATAGCTTTTTCTCTGCCTACCAGTAATAGTGAACTTGTTCTTGCAGAGAGAGTGCATCATATAGTTTAAGATAATACACAACATGAAATCTGCTTTTCCTAACCAGGATGTCAAGATAACATTTCTGATTTTTTTTCTTCAGTTTAGATTGGCTAATAGATTGTCTGAATGTGGTGAGCCATGTATTAGTGGTGTCAAGAAGGACTGGTCTAACTAATTTCAAAGCCTTCTTTAAATATAAAGAATATGCAGTAGGAGCTGAAGTTGGAAAGGGGAAAAAGGAGAAATAATTGGCCTGCCTGTCAGGAGAATAAGAGTAGCAGGAGTTCGAAGAAGCCTCTTCTGTGGATGCCTGAAATGAAACATGGAGAAGAACCTGGGGAGCTGGAAAGCCCCCATCTTGAAGTCATGCAGTCAGTTATGGCAAATGCACTTGCACAAAACAGCAGGTGCAGCTTGACAGCAGCCAGGGAGCAAGTGCTGCCTGTTGGTCGAAGAGGGGAACCTCTGACCAACCAGTGGGACTTGCAGTCAAAGAACAGCTCCCAAGTCACATTTGGACCCATGCAGAATGGCTATTGAAAAATCACACAAAACCCAAAAGAGAAAATGAAAAGCTTGGACCCCAGGCTACCCAAAGTAGATGATGCATCAGTTGTTCTCAACCTGGCACACAACAAAGATCTCTTTCCTCTACCGGATAGCCCTGTGCTAGCTATGCAGCTTCTCACTGTAAAGAGGAGCATCCTGCAGGGCTAACTTCAGTGAAGCAGTCTGTTCTCTGTGTTGTCTGAGCTGTAAGTGGTGTCATTAACATGGGCACAGGCCTTCCGGCTTTGTGGCTAAATCAGCCTTCCAGTCTAGGCCCAGCATGTCCACATGGCATCCACCACGCTTTCTGGTCTCAAAATTAAACATGTCCAGTTGGTGTCATTCTCAGGGATTCTTTACCTGAACAAAAGGGTTTCAATCCATTCTACTTGATCCCTTCTTGGAAGTGGTGGCTTTTTAAATAAGGTTTCCTTGTTTGAATTCTGCTCTGTAGTGTTTCTATCAAGTGTTCTCTCAAGTCCAGGAAAGAAGACGGATATCAAGTGAGCATAACTGGACTTGACACCCATGTGTAGTATGGATGAAGAGTGTACTCTCTTCTTAAAACAAAGCACATATATCTCAAGGACTTGCAGCAGTGGGTTTATAGCTACACCTCACATGTCTACGTACAGTTAGTAAAATTCAGTTTGGGTTCTGCTTGTTATCCATGTGGTTTCTAAATATTCTGGAAAATCCTGTGAATGGCTGCTCTGGGAATTGTTCCAGCCTTTAACATCTACTGTGTGAGTCGACTCAGAAAAAGCAAATGTGACATCACATCTATGTGCATAAGGGTTGTTTTCTATTACAAGGAAGAGCTGTGCAGCTCATGGCTCAGGAAGTTCTCCCTTCAGTTCAGCTTGTTTTTTTGGAGCTGAAAAATGAGCTAAATCCACAAAACATAGTTAACATTTAGGCAGTTAGATCTAAAATTACAAACATCCAAAGCCACTTTCCACTATAGTTCATTATTTAGAGCACTGACCCACAATGTGAAGTTCAAACCCACTTTTGTCCTCTCCCAGAAGGGTGTCCATATTACCAGTCTCCAGGCTATTCTGCATTGCAGGCACTTTCCTTCTCCTGCACTGCTCTGCATGGAATAATATTCACTAGGCAAGAGTGTAAGTCAGAGTATCCCACCTTTTGTGTAAGACATCCCCTTCCCCCCTCCTCCCTTTTCCTATTTAATTGTTCCCACTTTTGTGATGACCAGGTATCCTGGTTTTCTCTGTTTAAAAATCCCAAGTTCTCCCAATTTTTAAAACCCCCCAAGATCCACATTTTTCTGTGATTAAAGTGAAACACCACTATATGTATATGTATCAGTTGAACACGATGTTTTATTGATATATTTGCTATTGTAAAGCAATTTGGAAGCCTACCAGTGCCTCAATCATAATAAAATACGTTCTACATATCTATATATTTTGATGTTTGATTTGGGTGGGTTTTTCATAGGAAATCAGCTCCCTCTGCCCCCCCTTCACTCACTAAGATGTGGGTCCAGCTGCAGCTCTCCTCCCTGCTGCTTTGTGGTGCTGAACAGCCCTAATATGCCAGTGCCCTGTCTCTATCCATGCCATTGCCCCTCACTCCCAACCCACAGTCCCCCACCTCCCCCAGCCTTGCTGGTGCCTTTCACTCCTGATCTGCTGCCTCCAGGCCCCCAGTGTGAGGGGAACGGAGTGTGTGGGCACAAGTGACATGTTGGGTGGCAGCGGGATGGGGAGTGCCACCTC